AGTCCTTTGATTGCATTCAGGATAGTTTTTGTGGGTTTTGTTGTTGTTGTTTTTTGTTTGTTTTGTTTTTAGATTTTCTCACATTGATCTTGTGTATATTTTGTTAGTTATTAGAGTTTTATTATTAGAATACTAATGTAAATGAAATTGTATTTTCTAGTTCGTATTCCATGTGTTCATTATCCACATAGAAGTGATTCACTCACATTTTAATGCTGAATCTTACAACCTTGTTACAATTGCTTATTTGTCCTGCAAGTTTGATACTTTTTAGATTTCATATGTCATCTATGAGTGAAGACTTGTTTTTCTTTCAAACATGTTTGCCTTTTACTTCCTCTATTGTTGCATTAGACAGAATTTTAGCACAATGTAAAAAACAGTGGCGAGAGGCAGTCTCTCGATTTCTTCCCAATCTATGAAGGCTTCTCAGTTCTCACCATTAAGTGTGTTAGCTATAAATTTTGTAGCTATACATCATTATATTGACTAAGTTCCCTTCAATTCCTAGTTTGAAGAATGTTTTATTTGTTTTCATCATGAATATTATATTTTAATCCTGTTCTGCATCAATTGAAGTATTACTTTTCTTCCTTAACTGTTGGGGTTGGTCTGATTCTTGCATTTTGATGCTAATACTGCCCCTCAAGATCTGATTACTGCCCTATCCTTGTTGTGTAAACTGGCCTAGTCATGAGTGTCCTGACTGGTTAATAAAGAAAGTGTACCTGGGCAGGGTGGAAGGACGCCGGTGTAGCTAAGGCTCCGAGGCTTTGGAGGAAAGGAGAATCATAGGAAGCAGAGAGACAGATGGGAAGAGGGGAGGAAGGAGGGCACTACCATTTGTTAACTTGGAGAAGGAATGGTGGCTGAGAGGAAGGTTTTTGTTAATTGTTAGGCTAAGTACTTTTCATGCTTGTTAACTATTTTATTTTTTCCCTTAGGACTATTAAAAATATTAGGACTATTAAAAATAAAGATGAAAACAGAGAATAATAAACTGTTGAAATTCTTAACCCTAGGTATTATTATCGAAGTTATACGGTACACAAGGGACATTCTATTTTACTTCACATTCATCTGGTGAACACATCATTTGCCTAGAATCTAATTCTACACAGTTTGTATCGTTTGGAGGGAGTAAGCTGGTGAGTATATGCTGTGTATCCTGTTTGTTGAACACAACATCACTATTCAAGCATGACATTGGTTTTCAAAATCAGTCAGACTCCCTGACTGTAAACGTATTAAAGTTATGTGTCCAGAGCTCAGTGGAGCAACAAAAAAGAAAGCTGGCGAGCTTAGAAGGGTACGAAGGAGAGCCGTGAAGCCCATTAAAGGGTGAAAAATAAGAGCTCTAGGGGATGATTAAAAGAACTGTGATTACTCCAGCTTGAAAGCAAGTGAGGGCTGAAGGGTGCATTAATAATGGAATTCTAATAACAAAAACTCTTACATGGTACATGGGTGATTCACTATTTTCTAATTGCTACGAACAGCTGAAAGCATCTGTACTTCATGATACATCATTCAGCTATATGTAAAAAGAAACTTCCCTGGGGCATTAATAAATTTTTCTCAACACCAGAGGCATTTACATGTCAGTAAATATGATGTTCATGAAGGTATAAGTATACAGTAAGGTCAATGGGTTACCACAAAATTGTTAATATAAGAAAGACTGTATATGAAGAAGAGAGTGATAGTGTGGGCAAAAAGGATAAATCAAGATGGTGTGGCACCTCACTCATGAAAGGGAGTGCGGGAGACTGAGGAGGCAACAGCACAAAGAAAAGCAGGGGAAAAGACTGCAGGTGTTTTCTTTCAAACATGCCAAGGTGTGTTTTCCCCCTTTCTACTGTACAGCGCATCCACTTAGATATTCGAGTTGGAGAACATGACTTTGATGCAGCTATTGCTCAAGCAAAGGACAAAGTAAATGAAGTAACCTTCAAGCTTCAGCATCTAATTGAAGAAATTGAGCAAATACTCAAAGAACAAGACTATCAAAGGGTCAGTCTGTTTATTCAGCTTATTTTATCTCTTCCGGTCAAAAATTCATTTCTCAACATAAAACTCTGAACCAAGAAAATAAACTACTTGTTCCTAAGTCTAAGCTAGAACTGTGTGTGTGTGAAGAGAGTAGGGAGAGAGTAATCTTTCTTCACTCTACTGGCCCACCCATGAATTCCTTTAGAAAAGGACTGGGCTGATTTGCCTCTTCATCCCCAAAGTTTCTATCAAAGTATTCACCTCGTAACAGAGGATGTGAGCTTACAAAATAAAGGGATGCTTCCAAACATGTGCCATACACTGTAGACACCCAAGCATGAGCACATTTAGGATCACAGTTTTATTCTTATGACACCAAGTGTTTTCTGAGCCACTCTGCTCAGTGGATGCTGGATTCAAATCTGCTCACTTACTTTGTGTCACCACCAAGTCTCAGTTTCTTTAGCTGAAAAATAAGGATGAGGCATGGTAATTAGATAAGGTAGGCAAGTGTGTGGCATGGAGCCCAACATAAAGATTTAATGATGAAAATCCATCACTATTAAGTAATGTTCATTTTGCTTGATGGTAAAAAATATGTAAAGTTTGTAAAAGATCAAGTATAGATAAAAGTAAAAGAACATATTTTGCTAATTTGCTGTCTGATAGTTTGCTAAAGAATAAGTTACAGCTTAGAAAATGGTATTCTACTTTTTATATTAACTGGATAATATTAAATATTAAATATTAATGCACACAGCAAGCTACACCTCAAAAGCCACACACAATGTACTTTAACAAACTAAAACTATTTATTTTCTGAATAGGACCGTGAGGAAAATTTCCGTATGACCAGTGAAGATACAAATAGAAATGTTTTATGGTGGGCTTTCGCACAAATAACAATCTTTATCTCGGTTGGAATTTTTCAAATGAAGCACCTTAAAGATTTCTTTATAGCTAAGAAGCTTGTTTAAAATAATGTAGGTGAAAGCAAATGATTTGTACAATGTTTGAATTAATAAACCAAAATATATGCATAAATGTGTTGTTTTATAATTTAAAAGATATTAGATGTTGAAGTTAATATTACAGAATGACATTCCTGGACAAAAATGTTACTTTAATAATGCGGCTTCTGAATGTGGCAAAAATAAACACATTTTAATTTAAACTTGATATAAATCAATGAGCTATGGATGCAATTTTAAGTTATCTGGTCACACATTAAAAAAGGATTTTACAAAAGGGTACAATTTTAACCCTTGTTGTACCAGGTGGTGATGCTGGCACACACCTTTAATCCCAGCACTTGGGAGGTGGAGGCAGGTGGATCTCTGAGTTCAAAGCCAGCTAGTTCTACAGAGTGAGTTTCAGGACAGCCAGGACTACCCAGAGAAACTCTGTCTCAAAAAGAGGGGAAGGGGAAACCTTGTAGTATATATTTAACCTAACATATCAAAATAAAATCAGGCTGAACATGTGGCATGGGCCTCTACTGCCAGTTTCTAAGGAGGTTGAAGCAGAGTATGCCTAGAGCCCGAAGTAGAGACCAGCCTGACAGCAAAATGAGACTGTCTTAGCCATTGTTCTAGTGCTATAAAGAGACACATAACCAAGGACAAGGCAACTCTTATGAAAGAAAGCATTTAATTTGGAGTTTGTGTACAGTTGCAGAGGTTTAATCTAGTATCATCATGGTGGGGAGCATAGTGGAATGTTGGCAGGCACTGGACTAGTAGCTGAGAGTTCATCCAGATCCATAGGCAGAGAGATACAGAGAGACAGAGACAGAGAGCAACAAAGTGAGGGACTGGGTCTGACATGGGAGTTTTGATCAAAGCCCATCCCCAGTGACACACTTCCACCAACAAGGTCACAACTCCCAATCCTTATAATCCTTTCTAATGGTGCCACTCCCTGGTGACTAAGCATTCAAATCTCTGAGCCTCTGGGGGCTGTTCTATTCAAACCACCACAGAGTTCTCACAAACAGTACAACACAAAGAAACAAAATTAATTTTAATGTACACTCAATACAAAGTAAATAAGATATTTTATATCTTTTTATTCATACTAAGTTTGTAAACCTGGATTCTATGTTATGTTCACAACATAATTTGGACCAGCACTAATTTACTGGCCTGATGAAACTCACAACTCTAGTGCTGCACAGATAAAATACATCCTTTCCCAAAATCATTGCACTAAGAAACAGTTGCCTAAATTTTTACTTTTTCCTAATTCCTTCAATGATGGACAGTAAACTTTTCTCCATACAAGTAAATAGCCTAAGAATTTTCTAATATAGCCTCTACCAATTCTTATACACTTATGAAGTGGGAAGTAGAGATAGCCAGAATTATATTATAAACAGCTATTAAAATTTTAACTTTTAATTATGAAATAATTTTAATATCAGAAGTTAGCCCCTTCTACCATCTATTTTTTTCCCTCTATTGTATTAAAGGAGAAACGAACTTCCCTATATTAAGGGAACATGTTGGTGGCAAGCAGGAATCTCTGCCCTGCCTTGATATAATTCTGATGCCCCAATGCCATCTCTCCCAACCACCGTTCACTGGGTACTTCTGGTCCCCCTAGCCGGGTCCATAACTCCATCCTCCTGGTAGTCTCCAGCCCTGCCAGGAACCTATAGTTCTTTTTTCCAGCGGTTCCTCATTTCCCCTCCTTTCCATTACGGTGTGCACAGACGTCCCTGGGCCTATCTCTACCCTGAGGCTTGATCCAGTCTCCCTCAGTGTCCACTACAGCCCAGTTTCACCCAGCCTTTTTAGCAACAAATGGCCACACGGTGGGCAAGAAGCCACTGGCCCTTCCCCACACCACCAAGAAGGCACCCTTTCCTTGCCTCAGTGCCGCTGACACTGGTTTCCTCAGGAAGCATGGCTCAGCTTCCAGGGTTGGCTCGGCGTCGGTTTGAGCGGGAAGCCACGTCCTCCTACGCATGCGCTGGAATAGGCGCAGGCGCAGAGCCGCCTTTCCAGGCTGCGCGGGGTCGCGGAGAAGTACGTCCCTACCTCAGCGGCCTCGCTGCTCTTGCGCGGGTGTCGCGTCATGGCCAGCTGGGTGTTCTGTAATCGCTGTTTCCAGCCGCCGCACAGGAAGTCGTCCTTCAGCCTGACCAGCTGCGGGCACGTGTTCTGTGACTCCTGCCTCCGCAAAGGTCCGCGCGGCCGGGCGAAGCTGGCCGGGGCTCGCGGCGTGGCTTCTCTCCCGTGGGCTGGGCGGGTCCGGGACCACCGAGCCCCCCCCGGGACTGGAGCAGGAGCTCCAGGAAGCCTGCTGGGCGCCTAGGCGTCTGGTGGGAAGCTGTCTTGCAGCGGCCAGTTCAGATGTGCTTGCTTTCTGTGGGGGGCGGACGGGGGAGAAGCATGGACACAGAAGCAGTGGGAAATGACCGGCCTGTTTAACTTACCTGGTAAAGAGACAGGTTCCACCCTCGGGAAATTCCTGGAGGCTTCGGATTCGTTTTGCTCCCCAGCCTTATCTTAATTCTCTAAAGTTTTACACATATATGTAGGGTGAGCATTCTTCACGTAGGTGCTGCGGTCATAGGAACTCTGCTACGTGCTCACACTCCTCTAACGTGAGTCGTTTCCAGATGTGTGACAAATGATGCTGCTGTGAAAACTCTGGCTACATGGTTGTGTGCAACCAGGGATAGCATTCCTGGGTTTCTGGTGTATACTCGAAGCTTGGTGAAAAGTAGTATGGAGTAAGAGAAATTCAGGAGAAGCTGTGTAGTGCTTGTGAGAAACAACCGGAACAAGATACCGTCCTGGGATCAGGAGAAGTGATGGGTTTGGGAAAAACTAGCTAGGTTTAACAGACTTGATTCAAGGAAGCAAGGAACTGAACCATACCATAAGTTATTTCATCCCCTACTCTAGAACATTTATGTTTTATGGCATTTGACTATTAAAACAATTTTCCACTTATGGGTACAACTACTAAAATACGGGTATGCACATTAAAGTAGGCCATATTGCTCTCCAAAGGGTATTGCCCATTTGGATCCCCCCTTTGATGTGCCCTCTTCACTTGTGTATCTTTCTTTAGTGGCCAGAGTTTTCTCGGCTCTTTTCTTTTTGCTGTTTGCTCATTCAGGTCCTCTCTTTTAGTGTAATATTTATTTTTAGTAAACAGCATATACTAAATATCAGCCATTTTGGCAGTGAGCTACAAGGGATTTCCTCTCCGTCCTCTGAATCTTTCCCAGTACAATGCTTGTCGTTTGTTTTTTGTTTTGTTTTGTCGTATTTGTTTTGTTTTGTTTTGTTTTTCAAGACAAACAAGCAGTAGCCCTGGCTGCCCTGGAACTTGCTTTGTAGACCAGGCTGGCCTCAAACTCATACAGCTCGCCTTTCCTCTGCCTTTGGAGCACTGGGATTAAAGCCGTGCTTTTCTGGTGCTGAAATTTTTGAACCATGAAGTTCAAAAATTCAAAGCAAGGCAAGATGGTGGTCAGTTACATGGGGAAGAGGATAATGAAATACAGACAGAATCTCTCTAAATCTTTAGCAAAGAACTAGAGCATGAACAGATGAATTACTTATGTGCTAGCAGGTAGACAGGCTTATAAGCCTTTCCTGCTTCAGCTGAGACCGGCTCTTAGGTAACAGGAACACAGTGGTGATGCAAAGGAAACCTTGAGTGGTATTCCAGAGGCTTGAAGCCTGGACAGCTAGCAAGATCCTGTCTCAAAAGGATTTATTTCTGAGACAAGATATCTATGCCATTAGCCGGGCACGGTGGAGCACGCCTTTAATCCCAACACTTTGGAGACAGAGGCAGATGGGTCTCTGAGTTTAGGGCCAGCCTGGTTTACAAAGCAAGTTCCAGGACAAATAGGGCTACACGCAGAGAAACCCTGTCTCAAAAAACCAAAAAAAAAAAAAAAAAAAAAAAAAAAAAAAAAAAAAAAAAAAAAAAAGATATCTATGCAGTCTTGGCTGTTCTGGAGCTCATTGTGTAGACCAGAAACTCACAGAGGCTCCTTCTGCCTCTCTGCACCTCTCCACACCTCCACCTCGGCCTCCCAAGTGCTAGGATTAAAGGTATGTCCTACCATGCCCAGCCTCAAAAAAAAAATTTTTTTAAGGGCTCGTGCTAACATTTAATAGTAGAACACAGTGTGTGTGAGGCCCTGCATGAAAAACACACACACAAGCATGCTTGAGTGCACTGGGTGAGGAGAGAGAAAGAAAGGGTGCCGCTGCAAAAATCTAAATTAATATGTTGAAAATGATGGAGCACTGTTTGGGGGCCACACTTACAAAGCAGGAAAAACAATTTGTACAGTTTCACTGAATACACAGCTTTATCACATAAGAATGAAAACTAATACTGTATTCTAATTCAAGGGTTTATGTTCATATATATTTCACAGCACTGGTCAGTATAATGTAGTTAAACATTTTCCTTTCTCTGATAGGTAAAAAGGATGAATGCCTAATCTGTCAAGTTCCTTGTCATACAGTTTTACTTTCGAAACATGTAAGTTGAGATCTCTAGAATTTGAATAGTCATCATAATATTATTTCCTCTTATTTTGAGTTTAATTTCTTAATAACTGATATCTAAATTTTTTATTCATTTTGCTAGATTAACTAAGACTTGTGAATAATAAAGCATAGTAGAATTTGGTTTGCTGTTAGCTCTGTGTTTTGGTTTTATTGTTGATTGGTTTTGGTAAATTGATGTTTGTTTATATTTTTTTTATATTTGTTTAGTTTTGCTAAGCAAAATGCACTTGTCACGTGTCACTAAGTACAAGATCCTTCTGCCTTAGCCTACTGACTGCTGACATTATAGACATGAGCTTCCATACCAGTCAGGATTTTGTTTTAAAACCTCTTTATACTTTCCTTCTTAGCCATAGATTGTCCTTATTCACAGTTTATTGGATTGTGCTATGTTCTTAGAAATGAAAATGAGTTAGATTTACTTAGTACAACACTGACTTCCTGTTTGGGCAAGTTTGAGTTTTCATAAAAGTCATAATGAATAATTAAGAGGGTCATTCATAATGTAAGTTAAAGTCAGTTATTTGTTCCATTGGCTTAAACCAGTGCCTTTAGTTCTATGTATAAAATATGTCAGTGCATTTTCTTAATTAGTAACTGATATGGGAGAGCACAACTCCTGGGCTAGTGGTCCTGGGTTGTATAAGAAAGCAGGTGGACCACAAGAGAAGAGAAAGAAGAGGAAGAGAAAGGAAGTGGCCGTGAGGACTGTCCTGATGGAGCAGAAGCAGCCCAGGCAGGACCAGTATGGCAAGTAATTTGAGGTGTATGGGTGGGAAGTAGCCAGATTAGCATAGAGGGTTAGAATAGATCAGTATCTGCCCAGTTACAGAGCCTAACGCTTATTAACAAATCTAATAGCCCCCTGCCTCATTACTTGGGAGCTAGAAGGGGTGAATAGAAAAAGCCCCCAAAATTTATCTTATCATTACAGGGCATGGTATCAACACGCAGGAGGCTGAGGCAGGAAGATTGCTGTGGGTTCAACATCAGTTTGTAAAAATGTATTATGTCACTGACTTGCAAAAGGATCTATTCTTCAAGAATATTTGCATGTGCAGTGGTGTCCTAGTTTGGGTTTTATTGTTGTGAAAAGACACAAGACCAAGGCCAACATTTAATTGGGGCTGGCTTACAGTTTCAAAGGTTTAGTCCATTATCATCATGGCAGGAAGCATGGCAACATGCAGGCAGACATGGTTCTGGTAGCCAAGAGTTCTACATTTTGCTCCAAAGGCAGCCAGGAGACTGGATTCCACACTGGGCAAAGCTTGAGCATAGGAGGCCTCAAAATTCACCCCCACAGTAACACACTTCCTCCCATATGGCCTCACTTGATAGTGCCCCTCCCCCAAGCATTCAAACACCACAATCTGTGGGGGCCAAACCTATTCAAACCATCACAAGTAGTGTCTGCAGTCATTGGCAGGAGCTCCTGTGTGGTGCTGTGTACAAATGCTGACTACAGCAACTACCCTTGTCTCTCTTAACTTCATGGCCAAGGCTTTAGTATTTAGTATACTAAATACTTTTAATATTACTTTTAGTATTTATTATACTATTTAGTATATAGTGTGTATATACTAGTTTGCTAAAGGTGTTTTTAAACTCACAAATGGTATATAATCAATATGACTATATTGATTACTTTTCTGTAACTTGATTATTTTCTGTTTTATCATATTTTGTTTGTGTGGTGGAGAATACATTTGCTTTTTTAAAAAAGATGTGTCTGAATGAGGTATGTGCACATGAGTGCTGTGCCTACAGAGGCCAGTAATAATTGGATTCCTTGGAACTGGAGTTACAGGTAGTTGTGAACTGCCGGATATGGGATCTAGAAACCACTGAGCCATCTCCTTGACCCCTTCATTTACTTTTAAAACTAAAAACTCATATAAGATTCCAGGAATAATGACATGCTACAGATAGGTGCAACTTGCTGTTATTTCATTTGGGATTTTTTGTACCCGTGTTCATATACAAGCTGAAGTTGAAAGTTTCCTTTCCTGTATTACATATTTGAGTTTGAAAAACCATAGTTAAGAGCTTCATAGGAGGTCTTAGAATAGGGAGTAGTAGAACATGCCTTTAATTCCAGCACTTGAGAGGCAGAGACTAGGCCAACCTGGTCTCCATAGCAATTCCAGACCAGCCTGTGTGTGTGTTTGTGTAAGTTTATTGTAATGAACTCACAAATATAAACACCACACAGCTAAATTAACATAGTCACTCAAATTCTTGCTCAGTCCCAAACTCTATACAACTCAATGAATTTTCTGCACAGTTAAAATTCTGCAACCACGGAGCTTCACTTAGAGTTTTACACTTTCGGCATCAGTTACATCTTTATGTATGTACCTGTTTGTGGTGACAAAACAGGTCTATAAAGCCTATAATGGTGTTCTTTTTTAGTTTAGTCTAGTTTACTCATTTTTTTTGAGTTTTTGAGACAATGTCTCTATGTAGTCTGAACTGCCCTGGAACTTGATACTCAGGAGGCTTCAAAGCCTCTGTCTCCCAGTGCCGAGATTCAGGTCATGTGCCACCCCCACTGATCTTTACCCTAATTCTAAGAGCGGCTATTATGAGGTTTTTGTTTTGTTTTGTCTTGTTGTTTTTATTGACTTTCCTTGCCAGATGTTCATTGAGTAATATGAACTGGCATTTCCAGAAAGCTAATTTTTGGCTCTGTTGATCTCACATGAACATAGCTACACACAGATACATGCATAATTAAAATAAAAACAAAATCCTTTTTTTTAAGATTCATCTAATTTGAGATATTCCTGACAATGTAAGGACTTGAGGTAGTTTTAGTCCATTAACCTTTCACCATCCTTTTCCTCCTCAGATAGAATATTGTCTCCTACTTTGTGCTAAATTGACAACACAACACTACCACACATGGCTAATGCTTGGTTGGATTTTTCCACACTTCCTCTTCTCTTGCTCTTTTCTGCCTTCCAAACTCTGTGGTCTGTCAATGATCATTTCCTACCCATAGGGAATTCCTTTATTTTTGCTTTTAATATTGATCTGTTGGTGACAAATCCTCTTGGTTTTTGTTTGTCTGAAAAAAAAAAAGTCACCTTTTTATCTTCATTTTGAAACACATTTTCACTGGATATAGAGGGTCATGTCATCCAGCGGTGCTCAGTAGCTGCTAATGGTCTGCTTAGAGGTGTAATCACCTTCACAGGGGTGAATGTCTGTTTGACATTAACATTAACACAGGGGTTAATGTAGCTCTTGAATGACAATTTTTAATCTAGTAGCCAGAAGTTTCTACCTAGTAATTTGCTTCCTCTTCAGACTAACTCCAATATCCAGGCATTCTTTCTGGGCATAGATGGTCTGTGTAAGAAGTATTCCCAGGAGACCTCTCAGGTGAGTTACGGCCTTGAGGCTTGAGTTGGTGATGCCCAGAGCACATTACTTCAGAGACTCTGTGATGTAAGTGTTCTGAAGGCCAGTCTCTTGCAGAGGTGAGTATGAAAATGTCTTCTGCCTCTCTGAGCTTTTTTTTTTTTTTCCTATCTTACTTGTAAAAATATTTGACCATAAAGGTTTCAGTGCTGTCTTTTGTCTGATCTGTGTTGTTATTTGTGCTTTGGTATGACATTGAGACACATGTGAGCTCAGTTTAGCTTAGCTCTAGCCTCCTTTAGACATTATTCTTCCACAGATATCAGCTATATACCTGAGAATCTCAGTTGGAAGACCAGTTTCTACCCAGGTGGAGCTCTGTTAAGTTCAAAGCAGTAGATTTCTTCTTGAAACTATCCTTTGTGGGTGTCACCCATGGACGCACATCCCTGCTTTGTTCCTGCTCGAGTACGCGTAGTTCTATGGATCCTTTTCCTTGCATTTGTGACAGTTGCCTCTGTTTCTTCCTACCCTTCTCCCTGTTGGCACACTTGCTATAGGCTGCGGCCTGCAGTGAACCACACTCTCACTTGCTAGCATCCTGTGTCACTGTCCCCTGACAATATGCTGAGTCCAAGGTTCCATGTCATCTGACTTGTTTCCCTGGATAACCTGCAACATACTGATCTTCAGGGGAAGCCCTCCTTCTCTGCCGCTCATCCCATCCTCCTCTCCTCTTTCTTAGCTGTGCTGCTTTTGGCTTTGAATGGGCCTGGTCCAGCATAGGGCTTTCCCAGCCTTGGGGTTAGCCTTTTTCTGCTATCTCAATCCAAGATTGAGGACTTGTAATTCCTTTGTGCTCGTGTTTTCTCTCTCTCTCTCTCTCTCTCTCTCTCTCTCTCTCTCTCTCTGGGTGTGTGTGTGTGTGTGTGTGTGTGTGTGTCATTATTTGTAAGCTAGCATAGAAATTGCTATACAGCTCAGGCTTGTTTTAAACCTCATAATTCTGCTACCTCATCCCTTCCAGGTGCTGGGGTACAGTTCTATGCCACTATTCCCAGTTTTCACAGTCCTTTTTTACTTTGTTTTACTAATGAAGTCTTCTCTGTGAGGCCACTGTTACCACTCTAGTCTCTAGAATGCCGCCCCTGCTGGAGCACACACCAGAAAAACTCCTAGACAGCCTGAGATTACAAACCTGAGAAAGTCCAGGCAGGCAGAAGACTCAGGAGACTTGGGATCTAGCTTGCTCTCATTATCACAAGAGGCTCTCTGGACAGGACTAGTCTCATCTATAGTGAAAACTAAACTCTCTAAGAAGCCTTAGCCCATCACTATGATGAAAATCTGGGTTCCAGTGCTACTTTCCATTTGACTCTTATTCTTGGGGCAGCTGTGTCTGCCAAACTAGCAGCTGTGAAGACTGGACAGAGTCCTCCATGGGCCTACAAGCTGCTCTTACCAAGGTTCTTATATAAAAATCACCATGCGTGACAAGGGTAACATTCCTTATTAACAGGCCTTGCCAGGTTCCAGTGTCCACTCCACTGGGAGCCCACACCCTGATTGGTTCTACATAAATGTAGATCTCTGAGGGAGTGGCTTAGCATATGAAGTTTCTTTCCTGTTACCAGTGTAGGATGTACTGAGGAAGAAGGCAGGAGAGAGGCAGCTGGCAGATCTCTAGTTGCTAACAGCAACTGGGAACATCAGTCTACTGCCAGGATAATTCCCAGCTCCACCTGGCCCCTAGGTCAAATCTAGGACATGTATAATGCTGTGTGCCTTACATAGATCTGAAGGAGAAACTGAAGGGGAAGCAAGTCCCCCAAATACAGCCTTGCCCTGTTCAGGCATGCCTTCAGCAGACTTCCACAGTCAGGGAGGGCGGTTATCACTAAGTCTCTCCCGTGAATGTTAGAAGCTGGAAGATCAGGACTGTCACTTCAGGCAAGGAGGGGGTTCATTGAGAGGGGCTTTGAGGGGCAAGAGCTGTTTGCATAGTTGAGGAAGGTGCTCAAGGATATTAACTGTTACTTCAGTGAAGATTCCTACAGGGATAGCCTCAAAGGAGTCTATACTTACCTGTGTGAGCAGGAATGATACATAGGAACTATGTGGTGAGTGAAGAGCGCCTTTGTGTCTGTGCTGTTACCTAGAGGGATATATGGAACCTTAAAATATTACTTACCTATACTCACCCTGGACCCATGGACCCAGCACTGAGTCATGGCAGAATTAGATGAAGGAGTGACAGTTTAGTATTTCAGCTAAGTTGACACCATTTTTTTCAAACCATATATCAGCTTTCTTTGAGTGAGCCTCAGATCACTTCTCACTTGTTCACATTGCTATTCTCAGAAGCGCAATTCAAATTATGTAGGGTACGTGAGGTTTCCTGTGATTGTGAAGACAGGGATGGTGCTGGATTCAGAAATAGCTGGATCTAGCAATCTGTACAAGGCTACTTTGGTTATCTGCCAGCTCTAGCCACTATAATGGGCTTCCTTATTTCTACTCTTTCTACCTCTCTAACCCTGTTGTAATCCGTGTATTAGAGTCACTCACTGGACAGCAAGTTTTCAGATAATCACTACCATCAGAATGGGCCTATGTGTTTTATTGTACCACAAGATACGCACACTACTGGAGCATCTTAAACAGAAAGGCTGCTAGGAAGACAAATAGCCTTATTGTTTAGAGTTCATATTGGATACGCCCATCTGCCCTTGATTTGACAGCCTTCAGGCATTCTGCCCTTCCTGGAACATCTAGGCTATGTGTCACTGTGGTCAGATATTAGCCACCAGCACACCCAGGGAATCTGACTGTCCCTGTGGGAGGAAATGCAAGTCCACTAGGGAAGTGCATGGAAAACAGTCCATGCTGAAACCCACATTTAAAGCTCCTTCCAGCCTTCTACTTCCACAAAAAACTTGCCATGACCCTGTGCCCTCGATGGCTGAAATATGTTGTCTTCTCAGATTTCAGAATTCCAAGAAAAACACAGGAGGAGATTAGTGGCTTTCTATCGAGAAAAGGTAAATGGAAGCAAGCTCTTGCTTCTGTAATTGTTTGATTTTGAAATTTCAGTATCATAATATTCTTTCTCCCCATCCCCTTTCCAATGTCTCACTGTGTAGACTAGACTGGCCTCAAACTCATAGGGATCTACCTCCCTCTGCCTCCTGAGTGCTGAAATTAAAGGCATGTGCCACTATGCCCAACTTTAAGTCCAGGCTGAATAGGGTTCACTAGCACCTGTGAGGTTTATTTTCCTTTGCATTTCTAGTTGAGGAGGTGGTTACTTCGTATTACCATCAGTCTGTTTGCCTGACCTGCCAAGACGCCTCTCTGCTCTGGGCAGCCTATGCAGAGCTATCTACTCTGGCCACTTGATCTCCCTCAGCTAGACTGGCCCATTCTAGGGCCTCAGGACCATGAGAGCAGTACAGAGGCTTCTCTGCTCATCCTTCTTGTTTGTTTTTTTTTTTAACCTTTAAAAAAAAACTCCAAAGGTTATGTAATAAAAGAAGTGCAAAGGCTAGCTATAAAGTCACAGAGTTCTGAGAACCTGCTGTCAAGTTTAGAAGGCATTTCTCAGTCCATTGCCTTGGTACATAGATGGTACAGGCCGACAGGGTCCACGGGCTCTGTGCATAGTTCACTGGTCTCACTGTGTTAGCCACTGCTCTACCGACAGCCCTCTAGCTGCCCAGAATCCAGCCTAGAGGCTTCTTTCCTCTAGTCAAGTCTTGGTTACACATTTGGTGTATATGACCTTCTTAAACCTCTCAGCAAATGAAAGATTTTGCCCTGTGACAAGGCCAGATCTAAATCCTGACATGTTGTAGACTACATTCTAAAATCTCTTGTGTGGAGGAGGATATGTCTCAGACTTGGCGTCAGAATCTCTGAGGAGCACTTAGCAGAGCTTAGATGCTCTGGGCTGCTACTGGCTACCTCAGATCCACTGCCTTGTGGAGACAGAGCTGGGTGTCTCTAGAGCTCTAACCTGGCTGAACTCTACAAAGGTTCTGATGAGCCAGTCTTGCGGCAATGTCACATTTCAGAAATGTACAAACCAAGTATGTCCTCTGAACTGCCTCTTGGAATAGTAGTCTAATAATGGAGTCATATTTATATTCAGATTTCTCAGTTGGAGGAGTCCCTCAGAAAGTCAGTGCTACAAATCAAGCAACTACAAAGGTAAGAATATTCGCCTCATGGGAACAGTCAGCTAGCTCCATGTCTCTAAGCAGACAAAAACAGGTAAAGAAATGAAGGGTCTCCATAGAGGCTTCCAGATGATGCCTGAGGCATTGGAAGGGACCAGAAGTGACAGTGACCATAAGGCAGGTGGTGGCTGCCTGCAGTCTCTTCTGTGCATGACAGAGCAGGCCAGCTATGGAGGGTGAGTTTGGCATGGCATGTGTACTTCAAGGTGCTTCCATTGAGTGAGTCCATTGTATTAGTTACTTTTCTCATTTCTGTGACAAGAGCAACTTGAGGAAGAAAAGGTTTCTTTTGTCTCACAATTTGAGGGTACAGAAGTGAGTTATGGTGGGAGAAGCATATTAACAGTACCTTGAGGTGGCTGGTCGTATCATGTCTGCATTCGGAAAGCGGAGAAAGACGAGTGCTGGTGCTCAGCTTTCTTTCTAGTCAGCCTAAGACCTCAGCCAATGAAGTAGTGTTACCCAAATTTAGGGTGGGCCTTCCTACCTCATTCAATTCAGCCTGTAAATTCTCTCATAGACATGCCGAGGTTTGTTTCCTATGATATTACAGATTCTGTAAAGTTATAATATTAGTTATCATGTCTATCCTTTGTCAACCTTTCATACCTAAACATTTCATTTTAAAGCCATAATTTTCTACCGTGACCATTTGATAATACAAAATACTGTCCAACTTTAAAAGCCCACATAATCTTTAACAGTTCCAACACTGTTCAAAAGCATAAACGTAGAGTTTATGAGACATCATTCTTGTCTTAAGATTCTATAAAATAAAAAAACAAGTTATGTACTTATAGCAGACAATTAAACATTTGTATTCCAGAAGGAAATAATGAGGGCAAAGCAAAGAAGGACAAACCAGTACTCAGAAAGGAAAACAAATTGTGTTGGTCCATGTCCACTGTCTATGGTTCCTGTTAAAATCACCTCAGCTCGGAAGGACTTGGGTAGCCCATCACTCCAATGCACAAAGCTCTTTTGGGATGGCTCTGCTCCATGCCTACAGCTTTCTGTGCTGATATACCATGATCCTGGCATCTCCAGTATTCTGGGGTTTCCACTGGGTTTCAGCAGTAATCCCCTGGCATATCCCCTCTGGTCTCCCTGCATGGGATGCAACCATACCACATTGCTTGGTCTCGGTGGCTTTCTGTAATCTTAAAACAAGCCTCCATGATTTCCTTGCATCTTTTATTCCTTAGAACCAACACCTCATGGACAAGGCTGCCAAATTATGCTGCCAGCTTGAGCCTGGTCCCTTGGACCATAGTTGTATCAGCCTCTGTTTACCTTCCTGGCCGATCCTAAGGAGACTTCCCTTTCAAAATAATTTGGCTTTTCATATAATGGAGCCTTTGATGACTTGAGTCTTGCCTTAGAGCTCTTGTCCGACTTTCCCAGTGCGGAACTTGAGCTTTCTCTTTAATGATACTAATCTATTTAACAATTATAGCTGCTTTCTCATAACTCACCTTGTCTGTCTATAACTTTAAACTACTTCCTTTTCCTGCTAAGGGGAATTTCATTTATTTATTTATTTATTTATTTATTTATTTATTTATTTATTTATTTATTTATTTATTTATTCCGTTCTTATTCTTACTCCTGTAGACCTGAGTAAGAGGTAAGAGCAGTGATCAGTAACCACGGCACAGCCTGAGAGCTGTTCTATCTTAACATTTACTCCACAAACAAATTAGTCTATTTTTTTTTAATTCAGCCTTACTGAAGTTCTCAGAAACATGAGTAGAATACAGCCACTTTTTGGCCTTTCCTCCTCTGAAACCTCATGAGCTGAACTTCTACTGTCTACATTTCTGTCAGCATTTTATTCTTCCAATCTCCAACCAGACTTGCCCATTAAATTCTGCTTATGGTACTCTAAGAATTTTCTAACTCTAAGTTCTAGACTCTTCCACATTCTCTTTGCAAGTTGGTTTCAAAGGCTTAAGAACCACACAATCAGCTTTATCACAGCAACAGTCCCACTTCCCAGTACCAATTTTTTTATATTATTTTTCTCACGGCTGTGACAAAAGCATATAGTACTTAACGAAATGGGTTCATTTTTACTCACATTTTGAAGTGGCAGTCCTTCCGGGTGTGGAAGGCGTGGAGGTGGTATCAATGAGGTCATAATTGCTTCTGCAGTAGGGAAACCCATTAAATCCTGGTGGCCACCTTGCTTTCTCCTTTTTGTTTAGTCTAAGACCCTCTTAGCACATTGGATGGTACCACACCCATTTTCAGAATAAGTTGTCCCAACTCAATTAACCCAGTCTAGCTCACTAACATGTGAAAGGTTTAGGTGACTCTAAATCCTGTCAAGTTGGCAATTAAGATGAACCACACAGCCATGCATCATAGCACATCCTAAAGTGCTACAAAATATCTGGAAAATAACAAGCATTAAAATTCTCATTTCTTGCCTGTGTTAGTCAATGCCTCAATAATACTGCAGTTGTAAAACTGTGTTTGCATTTAATGTCCATGAAATATGGAATCCATAGCATACCATAGCTTAGCTAACACAGTGATAAAAAGACATGGTGCATGTTTTGTTCAGTTGTGGTTGTGTTTTTCTGAGATAATGGTACGATTTCCTGTGAGGCTTTTATATGTGGAATGTGTTCACTTTGATGTTCCTCACTGGTTACCTGAGTGTGTGGACACCTATTGGCCTGACCAGCCAAGTACCTGAAGGCATGGCCATCTTGGGAATATGACTGGGAGGCAGGTATTAGTATCTGTCATAGGTCTTGACCAAGCTCTTCTTTGTCTCCATCTTTAAGAAAATGACCTCTTTCCTCTATCCTTATTTTCAAAAACTGAAGAGCTGGAGATATGGCTCAGCAGTTAGGAGTATTTGCTGCTGTTTCAGTGGGCCATAGTTTGGTTCCCAACATCCATATCAGGTGGTATATGACTGTCTGTAACTCTTGTTGTGTGAAATCCAGTAGTGCCCTCTTCAGGCCTCTATGGGCAACTAAGAGGCACCATTTTTTAATCCAGAAATTCATGTGAATGAAACATGTCGACTGCTTTGTGCTCAGAAGCTTCTGTTTGAGGGAGGGCAGTAATATGTGGTTATGGTAAATGGTACTAGATGAGAGAAATGAACACTGTGGAGGGCTCTAGAAAGTGGCCTTAGAACAGAGGTCCAAATCGCAGTTGTTGAGGAATGTCTATTCTTAGCTTACTTGGTCTGACTGGACTGTTGCAAGCAGAGACTATCTTAACATTTAGAACAATGCGTAGGCCGCAGTATCTCATCTGCTTTGTTCTTACATGTCTTGTAAGTTTGTAGAAACAAAAATGCTTTGCCCTACATTCACAGAAACATTCCGTATCTACAAGGTGAGGCCAGGCAGATGGGGCCCAGGATCTGTCCTACTGTGAACAGATATCTTAGCATTCAGCATATACTGAGCGGGTGTCACAGAGTTCCATGACTTTGCTGGGGAAAAATACATTTACTTGTCGCCATTACTCCTGTTAGCTGTAAAACTGAATGAGTTAGTATCTCTTCTTGTCACAATTGAATTTCATACAATTAAAACATAGCTTGCCAATGGCTCGTTATAATACTTGTAAGCAAGAAGTGTTAGTGATGTACTTGTGGCCAGTGTTGGTGTTACTTTGCTTTCTAGTTGGGAAGGAATAAAGCAGTAGGCCAAGAGGATATGTAGAGATTCATACAGTTAACTATTTCCAAGCCTTATTTATACTTTGGGGTGAATGAGAGAGAAATCAATATTATTAAGTAATCTAATACCTTTACTCTATTTAGTATGAGGTCATCACAACAAGCAGCTTTCAGCACAATTAAAAATTCAGTTTCAGGTAAGTGAAATAATATCATAAAGGAAAATGCAAAGATACCTGCTGCTGATCTACAAAAAGTAGGCACTAACATAAAGACTTTTTTTTTTTTTATCATTTTTCCTTTAGCAAAGCCAAATGGATTTCTCTTGCTGCCACCAAACTCTTCACTCCCTGACAGGTGTGTGGGCCAGGTGGGATTGTGTAAATATTTGTGAAAATTGAATAACTCATAGTCATATTTATGGATGCATCTACATTTCTTTTCCTATCTTGTTCTCGTTCCAAATTGCCATATCACATCCATTAACTAAGAGCCAGGTAGAATGTCCTGCTACCCTGGATACTTAGCTTGTATTAGTGTAAAGCTCAGGTCCCAAAGTCAGGACTTAGATCCTCACTGGACGATCATAGTACTTCATGCTTGCAGCCACAGCAATTAGTTGAGTATGATCATTTATCTGTGAGCCTCCCAGAAAGCCCTACCCTACCCAAAAGTGAAGGATGGGTATAAAGGTATGGTCCTTCCACCTCATGTACCACTCTACTCTGAGAACCCAACCTTGTGTCTCTGGGTCCTTTGGGGAAAACTCTTCCTCAGGAAGCTCTGGCTGCTCCTTGGAAGGAGCATTATACCATTATAGCCTTAAGACCTGATTTGGGAAGGCAGTCTCCATCCTTGGTCCTCATGAGTCAGGAATGAAGAGTTAGGCATAAGGAGAAAATCATCATAGGCCCATAGCTTTAATGGGCCCAGGGTATTCTATGAACATGTTTTTCTGTGAGTTTACTTGATGGGTCTGCAGCAAGCAGGTGTGAGTTCCAAGAGACTACCCTGTGATTGGGAAATGCTCACTGTAGCACATCTGGGCTTACTTGTGGGGTGTGGAGTCATAGGCCAGTTGTCCAGACTGTCCCTAGCTGATACATAGGGAGTTTACACAAAGAGAATACTGTGTGGAGTAGATATTGGATGAAGACACTGAAGACAAGAGGAAGTAAGAGTCTGGAAAGTGATGTGGTGACAGCCTGTCCAGGAAACCTAAATGTAAGTATTTGTTCGAGCAGCTGTATATGTAGGCTGAGCTATTGAGCCGTCCTGGGACTCCTGCTAGAGTAGTCAAGAAAGGGTGTTTCTTTGCTCTGAGGTCATTACCGTCAGGTAGCCAGGCTAGGGGAGCACCAAACTGAAAATAAATGACTAATGAATGCTGTAATGTGTGATCCATGTTAACAGCAGTAAGTGAATGTTCCTGTTCTTAGGGGTCTAGTCAGTGGGACTAGGTAGGAGTTGAAGAACTAAGAGACAGACTCGGGGAAGGAACCACTGTAGCTCTGCTCTGGAGAAGTCATGCCTAATTTACAGTTAGCAAGCAGCCAGTAGAGGTATAGGAGGTAGCAGACCTATGACTAACCACTCCCTCACAACCCCATGGAAGGGCTGGGAAAGTTACTCTTTGACCTACTACACGCAAGGATGTTTCTACTGGTGTTTTTAATATAGTAAACTTTCAGCTTCATTAGTATGTTTTACTGTTTTACAGAATAGAGTCAATGGAAATTGACCTGACTCCTCCAGCAAGAAAGGTAAGTGTGCCTGGGCTACCACATTGCTCAAGGCAAATGGTGGTCTCTAGCAGAGCTTCTCACTATGTTGAGAGCGGAGTGAATGAGTGAGTTGTGATTAGAAACAAGAACATTCTCTTCTGTCCTCATGGCCAGGCCTATGGCAAGGGCAACAGGGTGCCATAATTGTTGAGCAAAAGTGGCCTGGCTCATAGCACTGTGCTTTACCTGCCCTTGACCATAATCTAAAAAAAAAAAAAAGAAATATTGCTTATTATAAACTGAACCTTATCAGCCCATAAAAATAAGTGGGCCAGAAATGAGAGGCCTATAAAACAAAAACATACTGTCAATTGGAGAGAAACAAATTCCAAAACCTAGGAATACAACGTGAGGGTCAGCTTCCCAGTTCAGGCAAAACTGAATTCTGTGCATGCCATATTGTTCAAGCATGAGGCTTTGGAGATGATTCACAAGGCTGGAGCGTTACCACGTGGGATGTAACCAATAGGATGGAATAAAGGAGGGAGACTGCATGTACTCAATGACACTGTTTCTTTGGTGTGGTACATTATTGTGAGTTGCTGCACGGACCTCCCGGCTAGCACTGTTATAAGTGCGTTGTAAGTGAGGATCAATTTCTTAATAGCCATCCAAGGTAGATGCCAATGTGTGGACTTATTAATCAAAGTCATGTCCACTTCTAAGGGAGTCTCCTGAGTCTGCCTATAATGGAATCTAGATTCCAGGGTAAATAGACAGGGAATGAGAAGTTATTCATGCCTTGAGGAGGAGATACAAAGATACACTGAATCTCTGCTCAGCTTACTTCTTGCACATGCTCACTTCCTCCAGTGTATACCCTCTCTATGCTGGGTGCCTTCCCAATCCCCTGCTCCGCACCTCAGGCCCCCCAGAAATTCACAGATCCCTGCCACATATCTCAGCTTCCTGGAGGCCAGACACCTGCTTTCCCCTCTCTAAAGGCCTTGTTTCAGGGTTGTGCATGTATTTGTGATTCTCCACATCCTGTATTAATAGTAAAGAAGAAATCTTTTTTTTCTGTCAGGTCATTCAGCTTCAGGTTTCCTTAGCACCCAAGCAGTTGGGATGAGTTAGCGATACTGAAGATAACAGGATCAGATGATACCATACAGCTAGAAAAATCAGAATTCAGTGAGTAAAACTCTAAACTTAGGTATCAGGCTACACATTGGCAGACATCTGGAAATGGGGCAGAGAGTAAACATTTTAACCTTTTAAAGGCAGAAGGTCTTTTCTGTGTCAAGCAAGTGACATTACCTGTGCTCCTAGTGTCTCTGGGGAATGTCAACCTAAGCAGAAGTCAGCCAGGCAGCTCCAACCAAGATCATTCAGGATATTACTTATCTTTTCCTTTCCTTATATTTCTAAAGGAACTTAGTGGGGTCCTGAATCATTTACTGTTTCGAGGCCTGCGAGAGCAGAGGTGATTCCTCTGCCCTGCCCTGCTCTGTCTCGGCCTATAGGGCTATCATCCAGTGAACAGGTGGTTTTGTTAGAGGTGACAGGACTGCAGAGCTAGAGCCCTAGGACATGGGTCCAGATGAACAGAACTGGGCTCTGAAAAATGGCAGTTTGGAAACTTCACTGGCTGTTTTCTTTTGCGTATATAGCCTGAGATGGCAGCAGGCCCTTCAAGAATCTCTCTGATTAGTCCACCTCAGGATGGTCGGATGGGTAAGTAAAAGTTCCTGTGATCTTCAAGTGCGGGATCAACTGAGCACAGCATAACAAGTTACAATAAGACTAGGCACAAACCCTCATATCAAGGCTAGACAAGGCAACCCAGTGGGAAGAAAAGGGTCCCAAGAGCATGCAAAAGAGTCAGAGACACCATCTTCTCCCACTGTTAGGAGTCCCACAAGAACCTAGCTCAGACCCAATGCTTTGTGATTGTTGTTTCAGTCTCTGTAGTTCCCTGCTTAGTAGATTCTGTGGGCAGTGTTCTCATGGTGTTCTCAACCCCTCTGCCTCTTGTAGCCCTAGTGTTCTACTAGTGTTTGGCTGTGGGTCTCTGCATCTGCTCCCATCAGTTCCTGGATAATGCCTCTCATGAAAATTGGACTGGGCACCAGTCTATGTGTTTAGCAGAATGCCATTAGGAATCATTTCATTCATTCATTCATTCATTTTGGCCAGTCATGTTTGTTTCTATCCTAGGTCTCTGGGCTATCCAACCTCTGATTCCTGGCCATCCATCCAGTGTCAGGTGTGAGCTCCCTCTCAGGACATGGTCCTCAAGTTGAAGCAGTCATTGGTTGGCCGTTCCCACAAGTTCTGAGTTACCATTGCCCCAGCACATTTTTTTCTTTAATTAAATTAATTACTTAATTTTTATTCACTTTACATCCTGATCACAGCTCCCCTCCCTCCTCTCCTTTCAGTCCCACCCTCATATCCCCTCCCCAATGTCCCAATTCCCTTATCCTCAGAGAAAGGAGGACCCCCATGGGGACCAATCCACCCTGGCACACCAGGTCACAGCAGGTCTCATACTGAGGCGAGACAAGGCAGCCTAGCTTTGGGAAAGTGATCCAAAGGCAGGCCACAGAGTCAGAGACAGCCCCTTCTCCAGTTGTTAGGGAACCCACATGATGACCAAGCTGCACATCTGCTACATATGTGTAGGAGGCCTAGGTCCAGCCCATTTATGGTCTTTGATTGGTGGTTCAGTCTCTGTGAGCCCCCATGTGCTCAGGGTAGTCTCCTCTGTAGGTCTTCTTGTGGGGTCTTTAACCCCTCCAGGTCCCTCAATCCTTCCTTCCACTCTTCCATAAGACTCCCTGAGTTCTGCCTATCGTTTGGCTGTGGGACTCTGCATCTGTTTCCATCAGAGGATGGGTGAAGCCTCTCAGAAGACAGTTATGCTAGGCTCCTGTCTGCAAGCATAGCAGAGTGTCATTAATAGTGTCAGAAGTTAGCTGTCTCCATGGGGTGGGCCTCAAGTTGGGCCAGTCATTGGTTAGCCATTTCCTCTGTCTCTGCTCCATCTTTTTTCCTGCAGTACTTGTAGGCAGAGCAAATTTGGAGTCAGAGGTTTTATGGGTGGGTTAGTGTCCTGCTCCCTCCACTGAAAGTCCTGCCTGGCTACAGGAAGTGGTAGAATTGTCCCCCAATTCTAGGAGTCTCAGCTAGGGTCACTCCCATAGACTCCCAGGAGCCTCCCCCCATCCCAGAGATCACACATACACTGATTTCTGTTCTTTCTTCAGTCTCCTATTCTCTTCCATTTGGCTCATAGAAATAGTTATAATAATGACTGCTGGGGGGAAGAGACAATCGATCCCTGATTGGAAAGCATCATTATGTAACCTTATGGGGTAATGGATGTATATTACTATTACTATTCCACATGACATTTAGGTTTTACATTTATACAGGAATGCATATCGCTACAGTTTCTCTGCTGAGTGCTTCAAAATATGGGTGTTGTCAGATGCAATACTTCAATAAAAAGAAGTCTGTATTTTCAGAGCATCACTAAATACTACAGAGAATGGCCTGGCATCTATCCACTCTAATGCACAGTCATTTCTCATGATCTAATGATCAAGGTCACTTTGTTTTTTAGGATTGGGTGAGGTTCTCCTGAAATGTAAGATAAAACATTTCTTCTTTTTGAAAGTAATTTGAAAGTTGGGGACACAGCATGCATCTCAGGGAAGCTAGGCAGGAAATTAGGGGTAGGAAAGGGATCTAGCCTGGATGGTACTGATGCAGCAGACCAGGATTTCAGGTCAGAGGTTTTATGGCCAGGTTGGTGTTTAGTCCCACTGCTGGAAGCCTTGACTGATTATAGAGATTGGCCAGCTCAGACTTTGTATCCCCTGAGTCTTTGCCGGGATCATGTAGATTTCAGGGAATTTCCTCTACACCAGGTTTGACATCACCCTCCAGATGTCCCCCAATTTCAGTCATCCCTCCCTCCAGCCTTACCGTCCACCTCACCCCCCACCTGATCTTTCCTCTTCACATTCCCACCTGTGCTGGTCCCCTTGAAAAATCTGTTCTCTTTTTCCTTCCCAGGGAGATTCAGGGTCCCCCATTGAGCCCTCCTTGTTACTTAGCCTTTCTGGGTCTGTGGATTGTAGCATTATTATTCTTATTTAACAGCTAATGTACACTTCTAAGTGAGTAAATACCATGTTTGAATTTCTAGGTCTAGCTTACTTCACTTGGGATGATTTTTTTTTTCTAGTTCTATCCATTTGCCTGAAAATTACATGATGCCACTGTTTTAAACAGCTGAATAATACTCCATTGCTTATATGTGCCACATTTTCTTTATCCGTTCTTTCATTGAGAGATATCTAGGTTGTTTTCAGTGTCTGGCTATTATGAAAAAAAAGCTGTTCTAAACAAAGCAAGGAGGTGTCCTTGTGATTGGATGGAGCATCATTTGGGTATATGCCCAAGAGTAGTATAACTGGGTCTTGAGGTAGATCAATTCCTAATTTTCTGAGAAACCAAAAAATTGATTTTCATAGTGGCTGTACAAGTTTCCACTCCTACCAGCAACAGAGGAGTGTCCCCCTTGCTCCACATCCTTGCCAGCATGAGCTGTCACCTGTATTTTTGATTGTAGCCATTATGACTGGTGTAAGATGGAGCATTTCTCTCTAAGAAGTAAAGTGTAGAAAAGCGAATAGCAGCAGCAATGTGAACCATTGCACAACCTAGCGGTCCAAGTGTTATCTCTGTCCATGGGCTTCTATTTATATTCTCAGAGTCCACACAAGGCTGTTTCTTCAGCTGGCAAAAAGTCATGCCCTTTGCACGAGACAGCGTCCAGGCCTGTTTTCAGCTGACCACGATCATGTGCCCTCTCACAAGTTTGTTTTCAGCTGAGGATGAACTGAAAACATTTCCACATCCCACATTTGAAACCAAACAAAAAACTTAAAAGAAACCAAAACTGTCACTACATCCCTTTTATCCCTAATCTCTCCAAGACTTATCATGACGGGGTATTGGATTTTGTCAAAGGCTTTTTCAGCATCTAATGAGGTAATCATATTTTTTTTTTCTTTCAGTTTGTGTATATGGTGGGTTACATTGACTGATTTTTATGTGTTGAGCCTTCCGGGCATCTCTGGAATGAAGCCTACTTCATCATAGTAGATAATCCTTTTGATGTGTTTTTGGACTTTGTTTGCAAGTATTTTATTGAGTATTTTTATATCCATGTTTATGAGGAAAATTGGTCTGTTGAATCTTAGTGTAATTTGGTTATTAGGGTGAGTATGACCTCAAAAAACGAATTGGCAATGTTCCTTCTCTTTTTATTTTGTGAAGTAATTTGAGGACTGTTGGCATTAGTCTGATACAATTCTGCACTAAAACTCTAGTTCTAGGCTTTTTTAATTGGAAGACTTTGTAAAGATTTATTTATTATGTATACAGTGTCTGTATGCATGCCATAAGAGGTCACCAGATCTCATCAAAGATGGTTACGTTGTTGCTGGGAATTCAACTCAGGACCTTTGGAAGAGCAGCTAGTGCTCTTAACCACTGAGCCCCTAGTTGGGAGGCTTTTAATTACTACTTCTGTTTCCTTGGGGGTTACAAGTCTATTTAAATTATTTATCTGATATTGATTTAACTTTGTAAGTTGTATATATCTATCAAGAAAATTATCCATTTCTTTTAGATTTTCCAATTTTGTGGAATATAGGTTTTTAAGGTATGACCTAAAAAGTCTTTGGATTTCCTTGATGTCTATTGTTATGACCACCTTCTCATTTCTGATTTTGTTGATTTGGATATTTAGTTAGTTTGGATAATGGCTGTCTATCTTGTTGATTTTCTCAAAGAACCAATTCTTTTGTTTCACTGATTCTTTGTATTGTTCTCTTTGTTTTTGTTTTCTTCACTTCAGCCCTTAGTTTGATTAAATCCTGCCCTCTGCTCCTTTTTGTTCTAGAGCTTTCAGGTGTGCTGTTAGGTTGCTAGTATGAGATCTCTCCAATTTCATTAGTCTATGAACTTTTCTCTTGGCACCACTTTCATTGTGTCCCATAAGGTTGGGTATATAGTGTATTAATTTTCATTGGATTTTGGGAAGTCTTTAACCTCTTTCTTTATCCCTGCCTTTCACCAGTAGTCGTCCGGTAGGGAGTTGTTCTGTTTCCCTGAGTTTGTAGGCTTTCTGTTGTATATGCTGTTGCTGAGGTCCAGCCTTAATCCATGGTGGTCTGATAGGATGCAGGGGGTTAGCTCAGTTTTCTTGTACCTGGTGAGACTTGCTTTATGATTGAGTATGTGGTTAGTTTTGGAGAATGTTCCATGAGGTGCTGAGAAGGTGTGTTCTTTTGTGTTCTGCAGATAGCTGTTAAGTCTGTTTGGTTTATAACATCCCTTAGCTCCAGCATTTCTGTTTAATTTTTGTCTGGATGACTAGTCTGTTGATGATAAGTATTAAAGTCTCCCACTATCAATGTGTGAGGGTTGGTGTGGGATTTAAGCTTTAGTAAGTAGTGTTTCCTTGACAGATGTTAAAAATTGAGAAATCAACTTGGTGGAGTTTTCCTTTGATGAGCATGAAGTGTCCTTCCCCATCTCTTTTGATTAATTTTGGTTTGAAATTTATTTTGTTAGATATTAGAATGGCTACCCCAGCTTGTTTCTTAGACCCATTTGCTTGTAAAAAAATTTATCTTTGATACTGAGGTGTGTTTCTTGGACTATTCAGGGCTTGCTGTAGGAGGATAACTGGGCTCTGGTGATGACATCTTTTTTTGGCTGTTGTTAATTGTGTTCTTGCACTGGCCTCTAGACATCTGGGTTTGGGGTGATGATAGGTCTAAGTTTGTCCTTTTTGAATGAGTGTTTTGTTCCATGGTTTCTGTTTCCTTTCTGGTCTTCTGTCTAGAGTGGCCTGTGGTTGAGGGTCTACACGTAACTTGGGGGCTGGAGTTCTGGCAGCTGACAGATGTGGCCTCTGGTCCAGCTGGGGATCCTCTGTTTGAGTTGGTGGGGAGGGGTTGGGCAGGCACTGAATGGGAACAGTCCACAAGCTGGCCTACCTGGAGCTCTAGTGGTCAGCATGGCATCCAGCCAAGCAGGGGTCCTCCACCAAAGCTGCGGGATGGGATACTGTGACAAGGAGGGGCAGTAGGGAGTAGGCTGAGCAGGCACTGAGGGAATGGAGGCAGTCCACGGGAGGCAGGGGCAGGGCTCACCTAGCAGTTGGTGTGGCTTCTGGTGGAACAGGGAGCTTCCACCACTGAAGTTGCTCCAGCAAAAAATCAGATTGTCAGACTGGCATAAAAATTCTGCCTGCATTCTGTCTATAAGAAATATACTCAATTCAAAGACACAAATATGTGAAGGAAAACATACAGAGAGAGCAGAAATCATGCCAATACCAGCTAGAAAGGAACTAGAGTGATTTTTATTCATAGTTAGACAAAGTAAATTTTAAAATAACAATATTTCTTGTAACAAAGAGACATTTTATGTTGCCAAATATAATAGGAAGATAATACAATTACTGTGTATAGATAACAAACTCAAACATATGATAAATTAAAGGATAGCCCAACAAGTATAATTATATAGTATTTTAATATTCTATTCCCCATAGTTAATGAACCACTGACTGTATAATTGCTAAGAAATTTAGCCAACTTGACTTATTTTTAAAAAGCATATACAGACATCACCTGACAATAGCAGAGTGTACATTCTTTTTAAGTGCAAATGGGGCATTCTCCTGCAGGTGCTTTCCAGACCTATATATGTGGCTATCCAGGACTCACTAAGCAGCTGTTTACCACAGGCACGTATGTCTGGCCCTTCCTGACTAACCTGTGACCAGCAGAGCAGATACCATGGCTCAGAAGCAACTTTATGAGGCTGAAGCTCAGCTGGCCTAGTTGGTTCTGGTCCCAGCTACTGAAGTCAAGCTGCCAATGTATTTGAATTGTTCACATTTTGTCCAAGTTGAAAGGGCGTAAGTGAGAAGATAGAACACAAGACACATGTCCTTCTATGGCACCAGGAAGGATTTGGGGTGCTTGAATGGCCATAGTCACACTCAGCTGCCTGAAGTTAAAAGATGACCTGTGGGTGCATCTAGCACCTGATCCTGGGCTCACATATAGTCATGGCCTCACCTTCAGAGAAGCAGCAGCTGGCTGTGATCCGATTGTTACACACTAACCCTATACAGTGAGCTTTATTCCCTCCACAGGCAGCGTCTCCTGCCGGGGAACCCAGCATCTCAGCTTGACACCCAGCCATGCAAACATGACAAAGGCTATCAGGTAGGTCCCCACAGGACAAACCATAAACCAAACGAAACAGCCAGTGTTGAAGCTGACAGGTTGCCTCTTAATCCTTTATGTCCATGTTTGGAGAAGGTTGTATTATATGTTGCACTTTATAGTTTGAGTTTTTGAATGCAAGGTATGACTCAGTGGCCTCAAAAAGAACTACTGAATGGCTGCACAATAGCTCCTTAAAAAGAGTAGGCGAGGGTCACAGATGTTTCCTGTAAAAGCCAAAAGGTAAATAAACTTGGTTTTCATGCAGCTCTTCAGCTTTGCCTTTGTATGAGAAGTAGGCGGAGTAGAAACTAGCAGGGCTGACTGTGTCCCCACAAAACGCTTGACAGAAGCAGAAACAGGCTGGCCTGGCCCATGGCTGTGGTGTACCAACTCTAAAGGCATAGCTTTCACTTGGTAACACCTTTCTCCATGGACAGGTAGGCAACTCACAGGGTCTCTCACACACATTCTAAGCACTCAAAGGCCAGTCTCCAGAAGGCAAGCCCTCTTCCCTCAGCTTCTTTCTAGGCCCTTGAGCATCCTACAATGCCATGATTGAGTGTGCATTTTACTGCTCACCTCCAGCTAACTCGGCTGCAGTAAGCACATGGCCTGGTCCATGTGGCCATGTCTGCCCCTTGGGTCTGGGGTCATTTGCATCTGTCTGTTGGTTGATGTACTTGAAGTTTTTGCCTACCCTGAGGACTTCACCACTCCCTCCTTGGTGCTGGCTTCTCCTGAATCACCACCCTTACCTCATTCTCTACTGATTCTTGTATCCCCTGGTTGGTAGAGTATTGTGTTGTGACTGCAACCCCAGCACCCATTCTCTGGCTCCTCTGGACTGTGGTTATGCACACAGGACAACTATATTGCTGAGTATCCAGGCTGTGTTTGAATCAGCTGTGGTAAGATAGCAACAGAGTTGGTTATCTAGAGATTGGTGCAGAAAGGGCAGGGGAAAGTGAGCATGAGCTTGTGCTGTGTTTTCTGGAGAAGGCAAAAAGTATTAATGGTTTGTTCTGAATAACTCTGTGGATTCTGGGCTCACTGGCAGTCCCTACTCATCCAGAATGCACCGGCAAGAAAAAAGTTGGAATGTGTGATTTTGAAAAAGGAAGATAGGGCTGTAGGCAAGTAGGTTTGCCTGTAAGAAATGTGCTGTTCATGAATTACAGAAATTAGCTGCCCCAGGGTGAGCAGTGCCCCCCAAAACTCCCAAGATTCCAGGGTGTCCAAAAACCATAAAATCTACAAAAAGTAGAGATTAACAAAGAAGGGGAATCCAGTCAGCTAATGATAACACCATGCTGAGTACAGCCTGTGAGCTGAGTCTGGGCAGCACACATGAGTCAAAACTCATCTTTCTGGAGGCCATAATCAAACACGTTGTCTGGACAAGCTTGCCAAGGAAGTTCCGGAACCTTCAGAATGCTGAGAATGGAACTTGGAGGAGCCCTTGGTGACTAAAGGATGAGCAGAGGAGGAACTACAGGGTGGCCTAAAGAGGCAAGACCAACACTGAGGAGACAGATGCAGGTGGATCTCTGAGTTTGAGTCCAGCCTGGTCTACAAAGCAAGTCCAGTACAACCAAGACTACACAGAGAAACCCTGTCTCAAAATAAAATAAAATAAAATAAAACTACCTAGAATTGCTGGAAAGGTTTGGGGAAGCTGAAGTAAGGTGGTTTCCAGAAACAAATAGATAAAAGCTGAAGCTAGCTATGGTGACAGAACAGATCATGAGATTATAAAGATCCTGGCTCCCTTTGTTCCTATTCAGCTCCTCATTGTCACTGACTCTAGAGAAAGGGCAGATGCCTCTTGACTTGGTCAGTACCTGTACATCAAGGCTCTAGAGTAGTTGACAGAACAAAGGAAGCCTCCTGACAGGTCCTGTTGAGCATCTTCTCAGCCTAGAGCAGACGTCATTCATCCTGAGTACTCAGAACGTGTTTTTCAACAGATGGCCTTTAAGGCCACACATAGTTGGTGCTTGGATGACCAAGTTACCTGAGCTATGAAGAACGTTTGTGACTTTGTTTAATTTATTGTTAGAGTCCCACCGTTGCAGAAGCCCTACAATGAAGCGTCTCCAGCTCCAGTATCACAGCTGTCCAGCAGAGCAGCACAAGGGCCTTCCCCCAGCCCTAGCAGTTCTTGGGCTGGACCGCCCCGGCAGCCCATCAGCATCTCAGGGCTGATGCAGAGGCAGTGTGCAGGCAAGTGCTTAGCTGGCTTTTTGACACCACGCCTTCTCTCAGAAGAGTGCGTACATGAGATGGCTGTGTAGACACACGTGGTGAGGGCAAACACAGAGCCTCACACTTCTGTCAGGGCCGGGCCCTGTCTCCATGACAGCGCTTTACATTAATCAGCAGAATCTGAAAAAGCTAAACTGACATGAAAATTTTAAAAACACATATTTAATCCAGTGAACTCTATTTTTTTACAGCTTATTTTCTTTCTCTTTTCTTTTTTTAATTGTGTGTGTGTGTGTGTGTGTGTGTTTTATTTTTGAGATTTTTGTTATTGTTTGATTGTTTCTTGAGACAGAGTTTTTCTGTGTTAACAGCCAGGGCTGTCCTGGAACTCACTCTGTAGATCAGGCTGGTCTCGAACTCACAGAGACCCACCTTCCTTTGCCTCCTGGGATTAAAGACATGTGCCACTATGTCTGGCTCCAGCTTAACTTTCTTACTTGATATTTACATTTTTGTTTTCTTCAGCAGTATATAATTAGGAAGTCATTCAAAGCTCTCATCTTTTTATATCTCTTACTACTTCCTACAGGGTCAGCATCTCCTGCGGGGATGGACAGTGAGAAGAGGAGTCCATTTTTACCCTCCACACCCACAAATCTACGCTCTATAGCCAGCCCCTGGCATGTGTGCATTCATCGTTAAATATCACTGAACAGTTCATTCTAGAGAGATGCTGTAACTAAATAAAGTAGCTGTCTGGAAAAATAGCTGTCTGGATAGCCTTGTAGAATTTTTTGGCAGTTGTATTCTTCCTGACACTATAAAACTCTCCTAAATGTGTGTGTGGAGGCAAAGTGAGCAGCCCCCTGAAGCTCACTGTCAGGGATCCCCAGATGCACCTCTCTGGGATTCAGGTCTGCCAGGCTTGTGCCCACAGCATAATGTATGTACACAGCCTCACCTCTGCTGTCCCAGAAGGGCTATGTGACCCAGGCATGGCTGTCCCATAGGAGTGTACTTGGTCCCAGAAGTAACATACCTGTTGAAGTTGCATCCATTCCCAGGATTTTTTTGTAAAAATATTTTTATAAATTCTTTGTGAATTTTATGCAATATATTTGATCATATTCACCACTTATTCTTCTCCTTTAAAATTATTTACATTATTTTACTTTGTGTATGTGTAAGAGAGAAAATCCATACATGTAGGGGAGTGGGCTCTACCAAGTCCAGAAGAGGGCATTAGATCCCTTGGACCTGGAGTTATAGATGTTTATGAGTCACCTAAATCTGAACTCCAGTTCTCCAGTTCTTTTTCTTGATATTTGGTGTCGTTGAAGGAGAGGGGTAATTGGTTTTCCTGAGACAGGGTCCCTCCCATAGCCCTGGCTATCCTGAAACTCACTATGTAGACCAGGCTGGCCTGGAGCTCATAGAGATCTTCCTGCCTCTTCCTCCCTAATGCTGATATTAGGCGTGTGTCACTATGTCCAGCTAGCAAGCACTCTTAATCACTGAGCTATCTCTACATCTCAAATTCCCAGAAGTTTATAAAATATTATAAAATCCATATGTATGATGCGTTTTTCTGTCATATAATAAATATGTGATTACTGAATGCTAAGATGGTGGATAAATGTGAAATGTAAAGACCTCCTGTATTTACGATAACCTCAGTGTGAACCTTGAGTCTAACCCTAACCCTTGGACAGGTGGACATGGGCTGACTGACTACAAAAGGGCAGATGGAGCGCCACTCTCAGGCTGTAGTGTTGCTCAGGGAGACAGTGTTAAAAATAATGCTGAGGAATCCAGCAGGTGCAGCCAGACCACCATCTCAGCACACGACATTTTTCCTCAGAGGAGCCCTTGGTCACAGCGTCTGATTATTCAGATATAATATTTAAATTTACAGTTTCTTCTATTGCTTTTATTACATTATACGCATAAATTTTAATGCCATGATCTTTAGCATTGTACACTGTTTTTATTTTGTCACAGTTGAGCTTTGGGGAGCCATTTAATTCCAGGGCACATTTGGTTGACTTGAAATGTTTACCTTGTCGGCCCTTTTATCAGCACTTACTACAGTTGTTTTTCTTTTCCTGTAATCTTCACTTAAGTAAACATGGAAGTAGTTGCCCAAACCCTGCTACTTACACAGGTGGTGGCATTCCAAGATGGAGCTCCTGGTTGTCACTGGTCAATCCTGGGAGCCCACATTCATCCCCAACAGCAGTGTGGGGTTATTCAGAGACGAGGCCTCTGGGAGTCAAGGGCCAGTGGAGGGTGGTGTGAGCACTAGAGGGCGCTGCTCCACTTCCCCGAGTCCCTGTTGGATTCATTTCACAGGAAAACAAGCTGTCTATTTAGTGTAGAACTGCAAAAGGTTTAAGCAACTGAAGAAACTCACAAAGGAAAAAATAATGATGAGATCAGCTGAGATTCCCTGGTTTCTTGCCAGTGTTTGTGCCTCCCAGACTAATTGAACCAGGTTTATTAATGACACCAGGGGACACACTAGGAGCAACTGTGTGTTCCTAAAAGCTAGCGTATCTTAGGAGTGTTCTGTGCGCCACAGCAGGACAGTGAGCCTTAAAGTAAAGATTTTTACTCAGTACTCAGGAATGAAACAGAGTCCAAGTAGCTTAGGCTACTCTGCACTGGATTCTTTTTAATAAGTTTATTCATTTATTCATTTTACATCTCAATCACAGCCCCTCCCTCCTCTCCTTCTGGTCCCACCTTCCCACCCTCTTCCCCCTTTCCCCATCCCCTTCTCAGAAAAGGGGAGTCTCCTCCCCCCAAAAGCCCACCCTGGCCCATCAAGTCGCATCAGGACTTAGTACATTCTCTTCTATTGAGGCCAGGCAAGGCAGCCCAACTAGGGGAAAGTAACCCAAAAGCAGGCAACCAAGTCCATGCCAGATCCATCCTACTCTCCCCTTGTTGCCAGGGGACCCAATGAGGACCAAGCTGCCCATCAGTTACATATATATGTCATGGGCCGAGGTCCAGTCCATGCATGTTTTTGATTGGTGCTTCAGTCTCTGTGAGCCCCTATAGGCCTAGGGTAGTTGACACTGTTGGTCTTTTTGAGGGGTTCTTGTCCCCTCTGGGACCTACCCTTCCCCACACTATTCCACAAAACCCCCCTAGGTCCCCCTAATATTTGGCTGTGGGTCTCAGCATCTGTTTTGTTCCACTGCTAAGTGGAGCCTCTCAGAGGACAGTTAATAGTAGGCTCCTGTCTGCAAGCGGAGCAGCGTATCATTAATAGTGTTATGGGTTAGCTTTCTCCTGTGGGGTGGGTCTCAGGTTGGGCCGGTCACTGGTTGGCCATTCCTTCTTTTACTGCTCCATCTTTATCCCTGCACATCCTATAGGCAGGGTAGATTTTGGGTCGAGGGTTTTGTGGGTTGTTTGGTGTCCCCCTCCCTCCACTGGAAGTCCCACCTGGCTAAGAGGTGGTCCCTTCAGTTTCCCTGTCCCCAAAAGCTAAGAGTCCCACCTAGAGTCAACCCCACATCCTCCCAGGAGCCCACTCCAGCTTGTCTCAGAGATGTCCTCCCCCCCTTGGTTTCACTTCTCTCTCCCTGCCCTCTCTCCTCCCACACCCACTCTCCCCACATTTGATCCCCACTCTCACTACCCTCCCCACACCATCTCCCACCCAGTTCCCTCTCTTCATCCACTTTCAACATCCGTTCTGTCTCCCCTTCTGATCTACACTGGATTCTGATTTAAAAGGTAATCATATTTCTCCTCTCTAATCTCCTTAACCAAAGCACAGGTAGGTACTCAGTGAATATTTTACCCTTACCCACTATAACTGTCTGTCTTTCTGGCTGTGTCTGTCTGTCTTCTTCATTGTCCAGCTTCTTTTTGAGTGCACACTCCACATCTCCCACCTCATTGTTTGAGACAGGATCGTGCTGTGTAGCCCAGCCTGTGGCTCCTTATCTAGCTTTTATTGAAAGATAACACCTTATAGCCTGTCTTCCATAACCACTTCGAGTGCCCTGCACATACAGGAGCAGGTGACCAACAGAGCAGGAGGCACAGCTGCACATACAGGAGCAGGTGACCAACCTAGCAGGAGGCACAGCTGCATGAGCAATAATCCTATTAAAAATCTGCCCCAGGGCCAGGAGAGATGGGGCCGTAGTTAAAAGCACCTGCCACTCTTGCAGAGGATCCATGTTTGGTTCCCAGCACCAATATGGTGGATTACAACAGTCTGTACTCAGTACTCAGGAATCCAACCCCCTCTTCTGGCCTCTGCTGGAACTATATGCAAGTGGTACAGACATCCAGGAAGGCAAAATACCCATACACATAAAATAAAAATAAGTAATTGTTTTAATCTGTTTGAATCAAGCTTAGTAGTACATGCCTTAATCCCAGCACTCAGGAAGCTGAGGCAGGGAGATTTGGAGGTCTAGGCCACATAATAAGATCCTATCTCAACACACACACACACACACACACACACACACACACACACACGACCAGAAGATAGGAAATGTTTCATAGGTAGATGGGGGACATGGGAGTGATCAGGGCTCTCACAATGGCCTTTTAACATATGACAGGATGGGATGACCCAGGTGGGGACTCCAGTAGAGATGTGGGTCTCTGCCACTTCTCTGCACAGCAGGAACAGAGCCAAGAGTAAGTGGCCAAAGAAGTCCTGAGTATGGAGGAGTGGTAGCAATCTCTAAGTGGTGCTAGTTAGGCCAGGAGTCTGTGAAGGAACACATCCTTAGATGTGGAGAGAAACACCAAGGGGAATATGGTCACCCAGCTGAGAATGGCTCAGGAGGGCAGGAGTGGCTGCATTAGCTGTAGGCTGAGCACATGGCTCTAAGGAAGGCTCAGAGGGAAGGGTGGAAGGCAGTGACAAGATGGCAGCCTGCTGGCCTCTCCAATGGCAGGGGAGACCATCTTGTTGAGAGCTGTGGCCAGACTTAGCGAAGAAAAACCCTACTATGAAACAGTCCACACCTACATTTAGAAGTCAGCTTAGGGCCCAAGTCCATTGAATAGGTGACTGGTCACATATTTGCCCCTTCCCACACCAGCATCTTTCTCTCCCTTATAGAAGACCTTGTGTCAACCTCCAGGTGAAGATGCAGGCAGCACAATGCCTATTCGCTTTAGGAACTGTTTTTCCATCCAAGTCTGCTCACAATTCCATATATATGCACGGTTTCGAAGTCAGATCTACCTACTAAAAATGTCTAAGGCCTCTAAACTCTACTGTCTTCATTGGCTCTTTCTCCATGTCTGGACCTAACTGGTTCTCTATGTCCCTTGCAAACAGTGAGGGCTGTGCCTCATTCACATTTCCCTGAGTACTAAATAATTCTGAACTTCCATAATGCTTTATTTCCTCTGCCCTGTTTTCTTCTTCAAATATCTCAACGGCACACTAGACACTCCATGGAGAGACATTCTCTCCCAACATGAGCCTCTTGGTTCCCACATCAGAATCCCTGTTTTCCAGTGGTGCCATCACTGTCCCTTCTCTTGTGCCCTTGCTGAGCTGACCAGATTCTAAGTTCAACCTCAACCTCAGCCTTTCTTGTTTTTCCATCTCTAAGAGTCAAAGCTGACTGCCATTTGGCAGAGGTTGTATTTTTAGCTTGAAATTTTCCACGGATAAAAACTGTAAAGTTAGGTACCTTACAATGTGCTTTCCAAAATGAGTGGTAGATCTGAGTACTGTTTCCCAGTCGCAAACAGAATCTACTACTAATAGCATGCTTCTGTAGAGACCAGAGTGCTTAGCCTCAGCTAAACTTGAGTGTTTCCTGACTGTAGCATTCAGACAGTTGATGGTATAGGCCTACCATTGAGAACCTAGAAACCATAAGATGGCACTGGGAAGAGGAACAGTGTGGGGGCCCTGCTCACTCTCACCCACCAGTACCAACAGGACTTCATTAAAAGAACAATCCAGAAACCCCAAAACAGACAGGAAGACCTAGGGCCCAGGCTCAGGAAGTGGACAGACATGCAAGGGATGGGTCTAGGCAAATGGCCCAAAGCCCTCTGCTCCAGCCACCTCTGCTGACCTGTCACCACAAAACACTCCCCCTTGAGTCACTCTTAGCTGGCCCTCAAGCTATAGTGTTCCTTCTGGCCAAGCCCAGAGCAGCTTGGATTTATCCCTGGGCTCCTAGCCCTCCTCCCCGGACAGCACCATGATAACTGACCCAGCCTGAATGAACACCAATGGAATGGAGCAGGTAGACAGCCTGAAGTGTCAAACCTATCCCTCACAAGCCCTTAAGAAGCCATGGCTTCTCTGAACAGAACAAAAGTTTTTTCAAACATAAGCAATTACAAATACGAAGGGATGTTTTGAACAAGTTTTCTTTTCAGACAAAGAGGAAATTCCTGAAATTCTTATGTGGTAAATTCAAACCTTCACAGTGACTTCACTGGTACTGAACATTCTGTTGGGCAGAGATGGCACCAGGGGAAGGAGATCCTGTAAGTGTGAACTGCAACCTGATAGTCTATCTTGCCCTAGCACCATCTTACTGCTACCAAGCCCCAAGACAGGTCTTCCTGTATCAGTGAAAGCTGGTCTACAAAGCCGAAAAGAGACC